AGATACTTTTCTCCTCCAGATCAGATGATTTCATATTCCAGATCAGATGATTTTGCTCCTCCAGAGCTGCCCCAAGCAATGCTGCTTTAAGAGAACACTGCCAGGTCCTGCTGCTGCTGAGCACAATTAAAACTCTTCCAGAGCCTTTCCAGCAGGGAAAACCCATTCCCAGGAGTGGAGAAATCTTCCAGGAGGGAAAACCCATCCCACACCCTCCTCAGCACCAGGAATGCAGGAACTGCCCTGGGAGGTCTCAGGCACCAAGTGGACAAAATGGGAGCAAAAGATGATCCCTGAGCCAAAGGGATTAATCCAATTACATTTAATTAGCCTTTGGAAGAGACTTTTATCTCCAAAGCTTTTCCCAGCTCTGAAATCTCCTGGGATTGATTAAAATGCTCTGAGCTCCTGCAGGAAGGCAAAGGAGCCACCCAGGGAAGGTTGGGATGAGGGAATGACCTGGAGGATTCCCAAGGGAAACCAGAACATCCCCAAAGCTCACCTGAGGCTCTGAGACCTCGCTCCCAGTGCTTGGGAAAGGCAGGAATAAAAATCCAATGTTTGCAAACACCTTTAGAGCTCCTGGGACAAGGAACAGCCCCAAAGTTTGTCACCTTGGTGGCACTGCCCCAAATTCCAAGGTTTTTCCCGTGTTTTCCCACGTATTTCCAAGTATTCCTGCTATTCTGAGGGCTCCTATTTCAGCTGTGGGCATTTGACAGCAGCAAAGCTCCAAGGAAAGCTGGGAATGCAGATTTCATTTGAATGCCTCATCATTGGTTTTCAGGGCCTTATCTTGGCTTTTCCAGATCCCAAAGCAAGAGGGTTTGGATTCCTTTGGGTTTGCCTTGGATGAACATTTCCTTGAACATTTTTTTTTGTTTGTTTGGGGTTTTTTGTTTGTTTTTGTTTTGTTTGTTTGTTTGGTTTGTTTTTTTGGAGTCTGGTTTGGGCACTTGAACAGCCAGAATTAAAAAAAGTTAATAAAGAAAATAGGAATCCCAGTGGTTGTTTGCTGCAGGAATTTCATTTCCTGCCTTCCCAGCAGCCAGATTTCATGACAAAAAAGCCTTGACACAGCTCGGAGACTGCTCCTATTCCTGCCTCCTGCTGGAGAATCCCTGATTTTTAGGGATTGGAAAGGACATTGAGGATCCCCCAGTGCCACCCCTGCCATGGCAGGGACACCTCCCACTGTCCCAGGCTGCTCCAAGGCCTGGGACACTGCCAGGGATGCAGGGATCCACATTTCCCTGTGCCACCCTCCCAGTGACAAAGGACACAGGAACTCAGTGGGAAGGAAAATCCCAACTCCTCCCATGCCATGGGTGTCCCCCTGCCCACGTTCCTGTCCCTGAACAGCAGGACCCCAGCCCTGTCCCCTGCATTCCCCTGGGGACCCAGCCCAGCCACCCCACTGCCAGCAGCTGAGCCCCTTGAATTCCCAACACGCTGCAATGATTATGCAAATATTTGCAAATAATCAACTCCTCCCTCACCTCGGCAGAGCCGAGTGAGGTGTTGCTGTGGCAACAGCCACTCAGCCCCAGAGCTCCCATTTGGGATGCTGGAGGTGCCCAGGG